AGTCCACTATGCTATTGCTTTGGGGGGGGGAAGAGTCGGGGAAATTTCAGACATGATTACAACCCATCATCAGGAACCTTGAAAGCACCTCAACTCCCTGATAAAAGTGAAGCCTTGGAGGCCTTCCTGGTGCCTTTCTCACAATCAGTCTYCCCCATACCAAGAAAGTCCTACTAAACTGTTTGCAGAGGGGGGAAAGAAATCCGGGAAGTCGGTGCTCGGCTTCATYGGGACTGAGTCATCCACTGTAGTCCAGTCGTTGAAAAGGAGTTTATAGTCTTTGGTAGTGGGCGTCTCGTTGTCACCCCTTTCCCCTTGCCCTCTACTTCCTTCATTCCATTYCACCCGCCCTATCCGCCCCCCCATTTCCCCCCCGAGCCAGCTTTTGCAGAAGTCTTGTATCCGCTGTTTTATCTCGTTGCTTGTGTGAAGATGYTTGATCTGTTTTTTGGTTTCCTCCCATTTYCCCATGATATGTGTTTGGATCTGTTGGYGTATACTCTCTGTGAATTCGGGCCCCTCCAACCTCACTCCTTCCATTTCATACGTGCAGCGACGTCTCCACAGTGCCCAGATTATGGCCCTTCTTCCTTGTTGAAAGATATYGAGTGTAAAATCGTCTTGCTGTTCAAGGGGCCATCTTTCAAACAGCAGGGCTTTCCAGTCCCATGGCCAAGGCACCCCTGTTCCTAACTGGCTCCAGACTCTGTCCCACCAGCGGCAGAGCCAGACTGCCCCTGGGCATTGCAGAAATACGTGTTCCATTGTTTCCGGTATCTTTCTAGATGGAAATGCGCTGGAGCATAGTCTGCACCAGGGGAGCGCCAGTCCCTTCTGTTCCAGCGTGGTTCTGTCTATCAACCAGTTGTTGGTTGGTAGGCAACGGTGTTCCATCTGCCATTGCAGGGATGCCAGGTTCGCTGGTTTCTGCTTAGTTAGCTGGAACCATTTCACACCCCTCTCAGCGATTCTTTAGCGATGTTCAGTTGTCTCAACCATCGCCCTACCACCTGGTCGCGCAGGTTAACTTTTGGACGGAGCAGTCTGTATGTGGTTTTGACTGTCAGGTTATACAGCGTTCTAGTGCAAGATCTGCCTCTGGCAGTTGTGTTAGTCCATTCTCATTCTACAGGGTCCAGGGGCAGATGGGATATCGGTGTGTCCGGAGAGAACCCCACCCATCTGTCCTCCCTCCTCAACACTCTTATTCTTGAGAGGTCGTGCTTGTCGAGGAGTTGTAATTGTTCTGGGCTTGGTCTTTGGAGGTAGTTGTCATTACCGATTGTGAAGATATCCACCGCCACTGATCCTCCCGGGTCACAGCTCACCACATTGCCTACCTCTCCCTGACGTCCCCTAATTGCGACCCAGTCGGATTCTTGCAGCCATGGCCCTTTTCGCAAAATTCTCCACCAGTCTAAGGGGAGGCATTCAATCAGATTTCCCATTGCCTGCTCTGGTCTGTGGCAGTATTTTAGCTTTTGCTTAAGACTTTTTTCTGTGATCCAGTCCCTCTCGTCTTCGTCCCAAATATCCCTGATTCTCAGAACTCCTCTTTTAACCCAGCCTTTCCAGGGGGAATCCATGCAGTGCAGCATCAACAACACGAGAAATCGTTTTTACTTCAATTGGCCCTAAAGCCTCTCCCGTCCCCACGCCCCCCTGGCCTCCACACTCCTCACCCCCGTGTAATAAACGAATGCCAAGCCAACATCAGGTGATCATTCCCCCCCCCCCTCCTCCCTCCGTTTTTCACATAAAAGGCAAACCAAGAACACCAATCCTTCCACCTCCTCTCTCTCCCATTGCCGCTTTTCCTCCTCTGGAAAGAGCAAGCTCGGTAGGTCTCATGCCTGAGCCGCGTAGGCGCTGGGTTCTAATCCCGTCGGTGTCACTTTCGGTCGTGCCCTGGGTTCAAATCCCGCCGCCGTCACTTTTTTGCGATCCTCGGGCACACGCACACAAGAATTTTCTTGCAATAGAATTACAAGCTTTCCAAAAAAAAATAACAAAAAAAAAAAAGGAATTTTCCTCAGCATATGTGACTGCAATTACGGCTACACCTGGATGCATCTGACCGCAATCACGCCCACAGCTGAGTCCAAAAAGTCCTACCTTGAGTATGGGCCTCACCGCACCACTCTCCAAATGTGAAAAAAAAAAAAAAAAAAAAAAAGAAAGAAAGTGGCGGTCCGTCTGGTCATCTTTTAGCGAAAAGTTCATTCTCATTTTGCACATCTCGAGAGTTGTGCGGCTGTGCCCTATATGCCCTCTAACYCYTCCCCCCCCCCYCTCCCMCCCCCCCCCCTCCCACCCCCCCCCTCTCCCCCCCCCCCCCTCTACTACCTAGAAAATTTCTTTTAGAAATTTCCGTTATTCAAATTCGGATTTCCCTATGTCGTCATCGTGATGCCTCGTCAAATGAAATTCAAATACGCAATCAATCTTCACAATTTTGTTTTTGGTTTTTTTTTTTTTTTTTTTGGGTCCTGACCACTGGCAGTCGGCCGGCGAGGAAAATACAGGGCCTCGCTCCACTACTCTCGAAATGTGCAAAACGAGAGTGAATCTCCCGCTAGAACATGGAAAGATACACCGGCAATATTTTTGTCTTTAATGCATGTCGAGAGTAGTGGAGCGACGCCCATTGCCTCCACCGTCAACAGAACCGAAGAAGACATTCATACGTTCTTCATAATTCTAAAATTTAATCCCTGAGGGTTTTGACAAGGAAAAAAAAAAAAAAAAAAAAGCCATCTACGGACAGCAGGATTGGTCCATATGCCCGTCACAGACGGGGTATCACATCATACTGCACAGCCCCTTCCCTCCCCTCCCCTCCCCTTCCCTCCCCTCCCCTTCCCTCCTTCCCCCCCTTTCCCTCCTTCCCCCCCCTTCCCCCCCCCTTCCCCCCCGGGGAACCAGTTCCCACACCAAGCTTGGAGGATCAATGTGTACCGTTAAGAGCCGACAGCACTGCTCAATGATTACACCCTAATGCGGGCCCAAATCCCTCTTTCGTCCTTCAGGACATCCGTTAAAAGTGGAACAATACAGAGATGATTAGCATGCCCCCCTCCCCTCCCCCCCCCGCCGCCCCCCTGATCAATCGTGACACGCGTAAATCGAGAAACGGTCTGAATCCTCTTTCGAATCATTGTTCAAGTCGCTTTCTCTTCCCACAAGCTGCTGCCACGTGGCTTCCGTATCTTCCCTTCCGTGTTGCAATCCACGCGCCGGGCAACAATCCCTCTGTAAATATCTTTCATTATTAGATTATCTTCTCTTCCCGCAAGCTGACATGTGGCTTCACAAAACCTCCCTTGAGAGGTGCTTCTCCCAAATACCCACACAGCATGGTCCAATCAACGGTTAGTACGCGAACGATGATCTGACGTCATTCAGCATTCAGTCATCGATCACTCGATCTGTGGATTAGAAAGTGTCGTGGAGCCACCAATCCGACTTGCCTGGGCACGCGCTGCAGCACACTTGAGTCCGATCAACGATGAATGTAATAACGGGCACTGCGATCTGTGGATCAGAAAGTGGCGTGGAGCCACCAATCCGACTCGCCTGGGCACGCGCTGCAGCACACTTGAGTCCGATCAATGATGAATGTAATCACAGGCACTGCCACGTCGGATATCCTTCCTTGAGAGGCGCTTCGCTCCCGACGTTCAAGAATTCGGACGATCAACGGTTTCCGTTGAACGATCAAGATTTCGGACGATCAACGGTTTCCGTTGAACGATCAAGGATTCGGACGATCAAGGATTCGGACGATCAAGGACGGAATCGTTCCTTGAGAGAGAGAGGTGCTTCGCTGCCCAAATAGCCACAGGACCGTCCGAGCAATGGTTAGTACGCGAGGGATCATGATCTGACGTCATCTAGTCATCATCGATCAGGCGATCTGACGGTCAGAAAGTGTCGTGGGGAAGCGATCAACCCAACTCGCCTGGGCACGGCAGCACAGACCAGCACCGAACATCATGCCGTAATCAATCCGTACAGCCACCGAACATCTAAAAATAGCACACAGCCCAGTTTCGTTCTCTGTAACTCCCAAGTGCCAGCCAGCTGAAAACATACAGAATCTCCATCCATGCAAACTGTCCGCGCATGTTTTCCATCCAGCCAGCCAGGCAGCCAGCCATATATCCAAGCTTTGGCCTGTAGCGACCCACCAGGCTCGCTTCGCAACGCCAACACACGCCACCAAAGGACACATCATGCCGTGTATTCCATCCTTCCATCCATCTAAAAATAGCACGCGTTCCATCCTTCCATCCTTCCATCCTCCCATCCATCTAAAAATAAAACGGGTTCCATCCTTCCATCCTTCCAGCCTTCCATCCATCCAAAAATAGCACAGGTTCCTTCCTTCCATCCTTCCATCCTTCCAAAAATAGCAACGGTTCTTTCTCTGTAATTCTAACGGCCAGATGACACCATACACAATCTCTGCGTCCGTGGAACATTCGAGCCCTCCCTCCCTCCCTCCCTCCCTCCCTCCATCCATCCATCCATCCATCCATCCATCGAAGATTATCACAGGATTATTCTCTAGAACTTCAAGCGCCAGAAGATATATCGTAACACTTTGTCAATCCACCCTTCCGTCCACCGATGTCCTCAATGCATCCATGCTTTTTCCCATCCATCCATCCATCCATCCATCCATCCATCCATGCATATTCATCCCTCCATGCAAAAGATTATTTCTTTCTCGAGAATGTCATGCTCCACATTCCAGAAGAGATAACGTAACCCTTTCTCCTTGTCCTCCGTCCATCCCTCCTTTCATCACACCATCTAAAAGACTATCACAACTTACTTTCCCTAGAACTTCAAGCGCCAGAAGATGTTTATCCCTAGAACTTCAAGCGCCCAAAGATGCTTTTCCCTAGAACTTCAAGCGCCCGAAGATGTTGAACGCTACTCTCTCCATCCAACCTGCCTGCCGTCCACCTCTGTTCTGCATCCATCCCTATCATGTCCGACGCGCCATCCACTATGCACCCCTGATCGTCATCATCATCATCATCATCATCATCATCATCTGTTGATGTGAAGGGCAATGATCCGTTTTGATAAGCCAAAGAAGATGTCAAATGTTTATCAAAAAGAAGATGTCAAATGTAAGGGCATACTCACTGTATGATTTCTTAAAATGCATCAGACTGCAATTCCGGCCTCCGCTCGATGCATCTGACCGCAATTACGTCTACAGCGCAGTCGAAGTAGGATTCGTTTTTCCTATTGACGATGGTCAAAACAGTTTCTCCATTATGGAGGATCAAAGTCCGTCCGTCCGTACGTACGTACGTCCGTACGTCCGTACGTCCGTTGGAGACCGGACATGGAAAACAACGATAGGTTAACGGTTCGACTCTTAGCGGTAATCCCTACTGTTCTTACGGAAGCCACCGCACCCGTCACGTTACGTTACGTTACGTCGGGTTTTGCCTCTTCCGTTATCATAACTCGCTCGGACTCACAAAAACAGCAAAAAATTGGAAAGGTTAGGCCAGTTCTTCCGACTTCTTCGAAACGCAGAGAGAGAGAGAGAGAGCGAGAGAGAGAGAGAGAGAAGAAGAAGAAGAAGAAGAAGAAGAAGAAGAAGAAGAAGAAGAAAAGCAGAGAGGGGAATAAAGGAGGGGATAGCTGTCAGATGAGCTCGGTCCACTACAGCTACTTAGTCTATTTCATTGCCGCCGCATCTTTGTACCCGGGTTATTGAGGTGTCTGTTCCAGGAATGACGGGTGTGGGAAACAGAGCTCTACATGTCACGCACACCACTTCACTGGCGTTTTCACACACACACGAGGAGGTTGGTTGTATTCCTCACGCAGCCAATCCAGACCGCCCAGCATACATCGAGACCGATGGTAGTCCTCCCATCCTCCCAACGCCCAGAGCTCTCAATGTCACTTTCCCATGTTCTTCCTCTTCCACCACTTCATCTTTCCCTTCTCCTTTCTTCTGTTTATGACACGATCACCCATGACAGCCCACTCAACTGTCCCATCTTCTGGTACATATGGAAACACCCGCTCAGAACCAATCATACCCTCTCCTTCCATCGTCCTCTCCTCCCTTCTTCCTCTTGCCCCTTCTTATTCTTCTTCGGGGAACGTGCGCATTGCTGAGTGTGGTGTGCGCCGAAGTGTCTTGACATTCTGTCGAAGTGTGAACCAAAGGTTAGCTATGGTCACTGCTTGTCACGGTCCTTCTTCTTCTTCTTCTTGTCCTCCTGCTGGTCATGATTTGCTTTTGCTTCTTCTTCTTCTTCTTCTTCCTCCTGCTGGTGATGGTTCTTCCTCTTCTTCTTCTTCTTCTTCTTCCTCCTCCTGCTGGTGATGGTTCTTCTTCTTCTTCTTCTTCTTCTTCTTCTTCTTCTTCTCCTCCTCCTCCTGCTGGTGCTGCTTCTGCTTGCTTCATCTTCCTCCTCCTCCTCTTCTTCTCCTCATGCTGATGCTGCTTCTGTTTGCTGCTGCTTCTTCTTCCTCCTCTTCTCCTTCTCCTGTCGAGGCTGCTGCTTACTGCTTCTCCTTCTCCTTCTTCTTCCTCATCCCCCCTTCTCCTCCTCCTCCTGGTGCTACTGCTGCTTGCTTCTTCTTCCTCGTCGCCGTTCGTCGTTTTCAAGTTGCAACCGATAATGAAGCAGATGCGCGCAAGTGTAAAGATATGCGAAGGACAAGTAGATTGCACGTACGAAAAAAGATATTAAATGAAGGGAAGGTAAGGTGGCACTGGCTTCGTACGCTCGTTGGGAGAGAGTGGTAATGAGGCGCTAAAAGTCTTTTTTTTTTTTTTTTTACAAAAAAGACGGGGGATAGAAAACAACCGGTCGAAGCGCGACGGCGAATGTCCCCGTGTGATGATGATACAAGGACAACACAAGAGTATGGACTCGAGGAGGTGTGTGATCGTTCGAGTGTTCTGGAGCAAGTGTTGCTAACGGCTTGTGATTTTTTCCTCTTCTTCGTCTTCGTTGTCTTCTTCTTCCTTCTTGAAGTTCTTCGACTTCACACAAGTTCAGAATTTTTCGTACACCGCCTTCGACCCTCGAGCTTAGCGAAAAATATCTGAGCGGAAAATTTTTCCTGAACTATTTCTTCTCGTCCTGCTCCCCTTCTTCCCCTATCTCTCACAGTGCCCACAACCAGCCAACAGCTCTGTTCTCCTCCTCCTTATTCCTATCGATCCCTCCTCTTCCTCTTTCCCCCCCCTCCCCCCCCCGTTTTTCGTTTTCCTCACAGAAATACATTGAATTCTTCAAACCACTCTGCGGCCCAGCAACATATTCTCCTCAGCCATCTTCCTCCCCTCATTGGGCCCTCCTTAACCACTCCATCTTCTCCTCCTCTTTCCACCTCCTTGTGCTCCACCTCCTCCTCCACCTCCTCCTCCTTCGCCTCGTCCTTCGCTTCCCCTGTCTCGTCGTCCTCTTTATGCTCCTCCCTCTCCTCCCTCTCGTCTTCCTCCTTTCCTCCTCTTTATGCTCCTCCCTCTCCCTCTCCTCCCATCTCCTCTTCCTCCTTACCTCCCCTAATTCGTCACTGCTTAGCCCCTCCTTTATCTCCTCCTCATCCTTTGCCGTCTCTTCCTCTCCTCCCCCTTCGTTTTATACTCCCCTTGTCGTCTTCCTTTCCCGATGCGCAATGTCAAAGTCAACCCAGTCGCACCTTTGACTTTGACTACGTATTATACGGGCTAAGCGAGACGTAAGCATGAGTTTCTTCGATGCAGTTTCTTCTCAAGGAAACAACGACCCGACGACAGACCCGACGACAGTGTGTTCTTCTTCTTCTACGCCCACCCAGGCGGTCCGTTGAGCGTGCAACCAACTCTCATATGGGAGGTCGCGTGTTCTGGGATCGGCTCGTGGAGATGCACTCCACTTCTTCTTCTCCTTCTTCTTCTTCTTCTTCTTCTTCTCCCACCCATACTAACTCCCTCTCTCTGCCACGCCGCGTACATGCCTCTTCCCATGACTGACGAGTCATTCGTTGTCGCCTCCCACAAAAAATCCTTCTCCATTCCACTGCCCCTCGACCAACGATAAACTCCTTTTTACATGGGCTACGACAGAATGTTCATCCCCATGAACAAGAGCTCTTCGAAAATTAACGAGTAATATAGAAATCTGATCTGGCTCAGAGTCTGTGTTTCCCTTGCCACTTCCAAACTACTCTCCCCCCTTGTTTCTGTAGCAGGCAGGAAAACGAAAGAAGAACCGGAGAAACAATCATCTGCCTCCCGCACAAAGCACCCATAGCGCGCCATGTAAAGGGCGACCATGTCATGTCAGTACACCACAGGAATGATAGGATGGCACACAGAATCTCGTCTTTTTCATCAGGGCAGGCGGCAGGACCCATCACCATCATGATTATCGAGCACCGCAGAGGAGGACAGTTCCAACCAAATCGAATCGAAGACAAGGGTAAAGAAATTGCTCCTCCCACTTTCTTTTTTTTAACCCCTTCCTTCCTTTCTCCACCTCCACCTCCACCTCCACTCTTCACACCGACGGGCACTTGCGCGATTTGATAGCGTCGACCTGCACAACCATGAGCACCTCTTGCTTGTCCCCGTCGTACTTCTGATCACCGAGCACGGCAGAGGAGGAGGACAAATACAATTTACAACCAAATCGAATCGAATCGAATCGAATCGAAGACAAGGGTAAGAAAAAAGTGCTCCTGAGCAGCTCCTCCCCTCCTTTTTCTTAACCCCTCCCTCCCTACACTTCTTTTCACACTCCGACGGTCTCTTTCGACTTGACAGCGTCGACCTGCACAACCCTGAGCACCTTGTCCCCGTACTTCTTCTTCAAGCGGTTCACACCCTGGAGAAGAATGTCGAGGCCAGTTTGGCGTTCGGCAGAGGAGAGCGCACCACCTCCACCTCCACCGCCGGCGCCATTGATGCCCGCCGTTGCCTCCCAATCGACGATGGTCGTCGTGCTCTTCATTGTCGCCTTGGAGTGGTCGATCCGAACAGTAAGGTCGGTGAGCATCGGGCAGCCGATGAGGATCTCGGCCAAGAACGGGACAAGTCGGGGTCCCACCCAGCGAAGGAGGGCATCGCTGCCCTCGACATCGAAGAGAGCGCTGGTCATGAAAGGAGCTCGAAAGGCAACCTCTCGATGAGCATCCCGATCGAACACCATCGAGTACCCTCCAGCAGACCCGCCAAGACGGTCCTCCCTCAGATAACCGCCCTCGCCCTCGCCCCCGGCGCCCCCCTCGCCCCCCGCGCCGCCGCCGTCACCCGCTGCTTCCGCTGCTGCTGCTGCTGATGATGCTTCCTCTGAGGGCAGCGACGCTCCCCACTCTCTCAACGAAGGCGGGGACAAGGACGAAAGAGACGAAGACGAAGCCGAAGGTCGGGGAGGAAGACGTCGAATCAAGAAGCTGATGAGGGAGAACCCGTGAAGCTCTAAGCGGCGCAGAGTCTTCAACGAGCGGCTGATGGAGAGAGTGCTAGTCGCATGGGAAGCGAAATTCAGATCTCCCCCCGTCAATATCAAGGCGTCGACCAACTCCGCGCGCGCAACAGGTAGAACAGCAGGGGCAGACGCGCAAATGGGAAGATCTCGCAACACCAACGTTCGCAATCCCGCCGACGAGCGCGCAGCAGGACAAGAGGAGGGGGAGGGGGAGGGGGAGGGGGAGCAGACTCCACCTCCGCCACTACCGCAATCCCCGCTGGTACCACCATTGCTAGTAGAAGTAGAAGTACCGTTGGCAGACAAGACCTTGCTATTTAGAAGATCCCTCAACCTCTCCCAAGTCCATCCGTACTCTTGATCGAACGCACGGCAGAGACAGCTCCCTCCCTCTCGCGTCTTCATCCCCGATACAACGAGAGATTCCACGCTGACGTTCTCTCCCAGGACGACACGTGGCCCGCCTTCCACGTCGATATCCGGAACGGCCTCCATCACCAGTCGCTCTATTTTCGACTTGCCCTTGATTGACAGCGAATACACGCCGTCGATTTCCACCGTGGAGAGCAGCGGCGCGCCCTTCAGCAACAACGACGCCAAGAATGAGAATCCCATCCCTCCCCCGCGTACTGGGGACGGCCGCGGGGCGGAGACCTTCAGCGAGCGCAATCGAGGCAGCGTCGTCACTTCCACGCAGGCTATCCCGACCGTCACGTGCCTCGAAAAGCAAACCGACAGAGTTTCCAAATTAGGAAACAACGAGAACAACACCTGGAAGCACGGCAGAGGTTTATCGGGATTCTCGAAGCCGATGTCGCACAGCATGCCGGTCAATTCCAGATGCTTGAGAGTGGCGGCGCTTGGGTTCCTGACGGGACCACCAACCAGGGACATCAACGAGTCCGAGCGGGAGTACTCCTCCCACGTGTCCGTCCGTACACCGTTGCTGGAAAGCGCCATCCTAGTCACCTCCTCTCCCAGCGACACCCCCTCGACGTACAGATTAGCCGCGGAAAGCGACAGCTTGCGCAGGCGGGGGCAGTAGCGCACGACCACCGCGATGGGGAAGAAGGCGACATGCACGGGAGAGGAGGCGGAGCCACCTAGCACCAACTCTTCCAAAGATTCGCCCACGTGGCAGAGAATCTGCTCCAGCATGGAATGCCCAAAGATTCGCGGCGGATGGGATCCCGACTCCTGGATGTGCAGAGCGCGAAGGCGCTCCATGTTGAGCACAGTCATCGCGACGTCGCCCATGAAATCGTCGCCGTCGTCGACGACAGCACCGGTGCCATCGACGGCCAAGGAATTGAGAGCGACATCGGCGGCGGCGGCGACGGCGGCGGAGGCGGCGGAGGCTGTAATGATAGGTTCCTCCGAGAAGCTTAGCGAAGGGATTTGCCGCACTAAGCCGGAGAACCACCTGCACACTGTCACGCACTCAGCGACGGCTTTCGAGCAATTGCCGGCTTCGTTGACAACGCTCTGGAGAATGCCGACAAAGAGATCGTCGGGAAGCGAGCGGAGGCCCGAGCGGCATTCTTCCACTCCTGAGCTGCTCAGCTGTGAGAAAAGCGACGATGTGGTCTCCGAGTCCTCCGTCTCGACGACACCCCCCCCGTGGAAAGCTTGCGCACCCTGAGAGGCACCAGTATCCTGTTCTTCTTGACGCTTCCGTACGTGGCGGGGAATGGCGACTGCAGAAAGATCACCCATGACTTCCAACTCGCATCCCCCGGTTCAGAGAGAGGGGGGGGGGGGGGGGGGGNGGGGGGGGGGGGGGAGGGGGAGGAAGGGAGGCGATTTCTTGCCGGTTATGTTTGACAAAGAGAGCTGAAGCAAACGACGAAAACAACCCCCTGCCGTCGATCCTTCGACCTTCTCCTTCTCCCTCGCACGCACACACAGCCAATCCTCAGACCCTCTGTCTCTCTCTTGTATGCACAGATAGGCTATTCTCTCTCTCTCTCTCTCTCTCTCTCTCTCTCTCTCTCTCTCTCTCTCTCTCTCTCTTTTGTTCGCTTCTCTGTCAACTTCTTTAATCTCTGTCTCTCCTGCTAACCCACAGCCGACCTCTTTGTATGCGCCCTCTCTCTCTCTCTCTCTCTCTCTCTCTCTCTCTCTCTCTCTCTCTCTCTCTCTCTTGTTCGTTCCCCTCAACTTCTCGCCTGCTTAGGCTCAATCTCTTCCTCTCCCGCGAACCCGCAGCCCTCTCTCTCTCTCTCTCTCTCTCTCACACACACACACACACACACACACACACACACACACACACACACACACCCGTTAGCTCCCGCTACCACCTGTTCTCCCCGTGGTTTGCTCTGACTCCCTCTCTCTGTGTGCTGCCCTGACTCTTCCCTTCCACAGCCTTGTCATCTCCCACGGCGCCTTGTCTCCCCTCCTCATCACTCCTCCCCTCCCTCTCCTATCTCCTCCACGCGATCGATCGACACCGTCCGGCAACGCGAGTGCAATCTACCCTCACGTTCGTCGAACCAATGTCCACGTCCACGTGCGTCACGTGGCGAGCGCTTCGCTTTCCCTCCACGTGACTGAATCATCGATTCCGTTTGATGTCAGTATGCACACCACCAGAGTACAAATTGTCAGAAGAGAGAGGTAACGTAATCATAAGTCCGGTTGAGTACAGAACGCACCTGTGTGAAGTTCCGCTGAAGACAGAATCGACGGGGAGGAGAACATCACTGCTGCCGAGAGAGTACGACGGGGAGGAGAAGAGAAAGGATGATGACGACAACAGATATGTTCGTCGAAAGGTGAAGGCGCGCGAGAGAGTAGACGGGAAGGAGAAAAGAAAAGAATGATGACGACAACAGATACGTTCGAAAGCACTGCCGACGGGAAAAAATAATAATAATAATTAAAAAAAATCAAAAAGCCGAAAAATACCGACACCCGTTCAATATTCCTTCGATTGATCCATCCATTCGCCCGCCCGACTGCTTGTCAATCACCAGAGAAAAAAGAAAAAAAAAACAGAGAAGAAAAACTGTAATTGTTAATTACTTCAACTATATAATTACTTCAACTATATATATATATCGTCACAAACAGAACTGCCCGGTAAACCGTATATACTTGTGACGATATATATCGTCACAAATACGATATATATATATATATATATCGTCATATATAATACTAATAACAATATACAGCAAATCACATCAATACACTATCGTCTTATTACTATTATTTCCTTGATATTAAACGAATATACTTCGCAGGCATGAAAATGAATTTGATGGTGATCACCCGGTCATATACACAACACTCACAACAACGACACTACCGTCATTATCCGTCCAGATCCATGCCATCAGTTGTATGCACCCTGTGAGGTAATTTCGTGAACTTCAAGGAGGTGTGATGATGTGAAGAATGATATTAGATATTACCGAGAGAAAAAAAAAAAAAAACTGGAAAATTAATCGAAATCGATTTTGATTGCGGTGATCGACGGTTGTAGTGAATCGCTCGTTCGGACAACGTACTCGATTCAAAGCGATTAGAATCGTTCGGACGGAAAAAAAAAAAAAAAAAAAAAAAAAGACCTAAGCTTGCTTGATATCTTACTCTGCGTTTTCTGGTTTTGCATGCATGCAAACCAATGTTGCGGATCACTTCAGTTGTTGCGCCCTGTCCTCTCCTAGACACACACACACGTCATACTATGTTAGTCGTTCTACTATGAAGCCATCTCTCTCTCTCTCTCTCTCTCTCTCTAGCACCTTCACCCTTCTGTCGGGTTACAAAATGTATGGACTGCGCTGTGACCTTACCTGTCTTGCTTTACTACTGTGTTTCACAAGGAGGCGACCTTTCAGGGGCGTACTCACGGTGGGCGTATCGTGGACGTACATTTTAATATGACAGTTTTTCCGACCAGGCCTAGATGCACTTGTCCGCAATTACGTCGACAGAGAAGTCGAATAAAGATCCTCTCTCGCGTGAGTATATCCTTACTTGATCAAAATGCGCGGGGTATACGGCATTCTGAGAGGAAAAGAACAGCTCCTGGACACGCAATCCGCACCATAGACACCATTATACAGAGGTCATTCACAAAATCCGAAGCGTAGACCATTCCCTGCAAGGAATTCTGCTGGAGATTATTCATCGTCCATCATCAGATTATTACATAGGTAAACCTGCGGAAGAATTAA